AATTGAGTAAAAGGAGGGAAAACTAGAGAGGACGGGGTGGATTTGGAATCAGATTAGTTACAAAAGAAACAGGTACTTTGTTTTTTTGGGAATTAAATAGTGCTGTTAGCTAGACCTTTGAACTGGATACTAAACTAAATCTTGAATATCTCCATTTCTCTGGATATTTTATAGGATAGGCACATTGATTATAGCTGATTTCGCTTTTTATTAAGCGCAGACGTTTTTAGACAAAGGCGGAGGGAGCAGTTGCTGATAAATGAGCAACGGGAGAAGTCGTTAGCACCTCCTCCTCCAAGGAATCAGCGTTTGAAATTCAGTCCTGAAGTTGCGTTACTGGAAGCAACAAGTCGAGGGGATGCAGAAGAAGGTATTGTCGTTTTCAACCTTCAAGTCATTATCTATTTACTTTATCAGTATTTTACTAGTAAACCCTTTTACGGAATTTATTTTGTGGAAGAGGTTTCTAGTATTTTATACATTCTTGGGCCAAAAAATTTTTGGGCTCATTCTTTGTATACATCTATACCGTTCCAATCATGAAGTTTATTTGCAGTGGAGAAGTTGCTTGAAGATGGAGTGACTCCGAATTCTCATAACGAGGATGGACTTACACCTTTGCATCAGGTTTCTCTAACACTATTAGTGTTTCAGTACGTTAGAACTGTATTACAAAAAGTATAGAAAAAGAATATTTCAATTCTTTTGTTGAGGGGGTGAACGTTTTTAGTTTTCCCTTTCCTCATTCTTAGTGAATCTTTTCCTATGTCTCGTATTTAGTGCGCCATTGATAAAAACGAAGAGATTCTTCAACTGTTGCTGAGATATGGAGCTGATGTAAATGCCCAGGATACTGAGCAGTGGACACCGCTTCATGCTGCAGCATGTTGTGCGCATATCGGGATTGTCAGATTACTTATTAACAAGTAGTATTTCTTTCTATATTTTTTAGTATTTGGATTTATATGGACTGTGAAAACCACTTGCTGAGAAAGTGGAGTTTGATATTACATTCCTGAAAACATTTTGCTTTTATAATGATTTTCGCCTTGGCATTTACTTTACTTTCAAAATTTTTGAAAATATCTTTATTTTCAGTGAAAGTGAATATTTATCGAAGTAAATACATTACTTGAGATTATTCGCTGTTTTTTGCTCAAGTATTTCTGAAAATAGCAAATTAATTTTTGCAGCGATGACTATAAATTTTTATAATTTTTCCTTCAGTGGCGCAGATCTGTTAGCTGTTAATGCAGATGGTAATATGCCGTACGATATATGTGATAATGAGGCAACTCTAGACGTAATTGAAACAGAAATGGCTGCACGTGGTATTACACAAGCTCATATCGGTAAATATTTGGATTTATTGTGTTGCCTTTTTCAAGTGACTTCTGCGCAAAGTCGTGTTGGCTGTAAGCATCTTCTAGTTTATCATGAGAGGAACATTAAATTTTAGATGAGCAACGAGGTGCTGCAGAGAAACAAATGTTGGATGAGATGAAGTTTTTGCGCCAAGAGGGACTTCCTTTGGACAGTAGACAGCCAGATGGAAGTACTTATGTAAGATAGTTTTTTGATCCTATTGGCTTGGTCAAGCCTGACATATAATTCCTATTCTTTTCAGTCTATAATGCTTGAAGGAAAAGTTTATATTACAGTTACATGTAGCGGCAGCGAATGGTTATTATGATGTTGCCGCTTTCTTATTACGATGTGGTGTGTCACCTTCAGTTCGTGATAATGACCTTTGGATGCCAGTCCATGCAGCCGCCTGTTGGGCTCAGCCAGATCTTGTAGAATTACTTTGTGAATACGGTGCTGATATTAATGCAAAGACGAATAATGGAGAAACTCCTCTAGGTTTGCCTCTTAGTTTTTCTTTTATAGCTTTAAAATTTTTTTTTTCTTTTGATGAGTGGACTTTCAAGTTTTTAGGCCTAGTAAGAGAGTTTTGATTCAGATTTTACGTCGTGGCCAAGCAATCACCATTTTGGTAGACTGTGAGTATTTTGCCTTAATGTTTTTGCTGTTTTTTTATTGAGACTCTGTGGATCGAAATTGTGGTGTTGCCTATGTAAGTCATGCATTCACTTATTTGGCAACGTCATATATGACGCTTTAGAGCGTTGCAATTGTTTTTTGTCTATTTTTTCTCTTTTGGAACTTGCATGTTTTTCGTACGTCTCTGCTTGGCGTATTTACAAACAGTAATGAAATTAGAAAAAAGTATTTTAAGATTGTTTTGTAAAGTTGGTGTTATAATGAGCATTAAACTTAAAGAAAATCCGTCTCTTTTTAAATTTTTGTCTGATTTTGAGAGCATGAATGTGTCTCGTGTATAAGGGTATTGATCGAAGCTATTGAGAAGTTTTTGAATTTTGCGATGGTTTTCTGTCTTATCGTGTTATGCTTAAGCCTTACAGTTATTTTTAATAGGCACCTGAAAGCCATTATGTAATTTATTTTCATTGGCCGTTTATTTTGCATCAAAGCTGAGTTTACTATTGCCTTACAGGATATTTCCAAATTTGTTTTCTTCACAGTATTCACCATTTCATTTATTTTCAGATCTTTGTGAAGACTCTACTACCCGTGCAGTGATTGTAACATTCCAGCAGCAGGAGGCTCGTAAGAAGCGTTTAGCCTTTGGAGTTAGAGATAGTAGGCGCCAATCTCGAAAGTAAGGGTTATCTTTTTACAGATCTTTAGTTTACTTTTTTGTTACTCAGGGGTGCAGATGGTGCTACTATAGAGACAAAGCTGAAAATTCTCAGTGGCGCAGTAATTTATTTTTTTGTTTTTTTTTTTTTCTTACAAGCGCCATTTCTTTTACTGCTCAATTTAGGAGGAAGAAGTTTGAATCACCTCAGCAACCTACTGCTACAAATGACAACCCTTTTTCTGCTCGGGGGGCCATTCGCCGCCTGTCATTAAGAGATCGTACGGGTATCTCTCTCGCGAGGATTGAAGCGCAGAAAGAACAGACTGACATCCTACGCTCTTGGAGTAAAGAGGATATATCAAATTCAAAGGTAGAAGTTGCAAATGTTTTATTGCCTGCAATTTTCGTTCTTAATCTACAACTGTTATTATTGTTGGTCAGTTTTGGTATGGTTTTTAATGCATTAGCAAGAGTACATGAGCTTTGGATTATCAGATGAATACTATCATATTCCGTGTTTGAAAATTGCATGTTAAAGGATGGAGGAGTAATGATAGAAGGTTTATCAACGGACGGTTCCTCGATGAGTCATGCGGAAGTACTTGGTGGTTCAGGTCTTTCCAATCATCGGAGGGAAAGTCCTAGCAAGAAGGTTGCTTTTGAACTTCAGTTTTTGTTTTTATCTGCGTAAGCAAAGACGGACTGAATTTCAAAATTGCTTGAGCATTCATTTAGACCCATCGAGTAAGAAGTTGTCTTTATTTTGATAATGAATTCTGACGATTTATCCTTGAACCTTTAGGGCATGAAACCGTCTCAGAAAACTAAACCAATGTCACCCGATGAGTGGTTGCGTAAGCTGGATACAGAAAATAGGATCGAAGATGACGATTCTGTTGGTCAGCTTCAACGAGGGGGTCGAGCACGAAGTAGTCAGAAGAAAAAGAAGAAAAAACGTGAAGAAGGTAACGAAGTTCTTAGGCTCAGCGTAAAGTTGACAGTCAGCATGTGCTGTGTTTTAATTAGTAGGTGGCAGGTTTTTTTGCCGTTCTTTTGAAAATTATATCGCAAAAATCCAACATACTCTGCAGCATTTTCTTAAGAAGCAACACAGATATATCGAATTTTTGAAGGTTAAGAAGACTGATTACACGGTGATACTTTGCAGAGAGCAATAGTGCTACAGAGCTAACTGTTTTACAAAATGGAGGTGATGCGAACGGTGGAGGTCTGTATGGAGCTCAGCATAACGTTTTGAGAAATGATATGCGGCCTGTTAATGTTAAAAATTCCAGAAGGTCTAAGAAGGCTTGTTGTTGCACTATCTGTTAAATCCTATAGAGGAAAGATATTTTTCTGTAATTTTACCTTTATTTTGTAATGCAGAGTCTTTACCGGGTCATTCGTTGACTTATTTTTATTCTCATTCTCAGAGCAATTAAGTGAACCGACATCTTCCTTCCCTGCAGTTTATCTTTACTAGGTATTTACTGAAAATATAAGCTCCATGCCACTTTCTGATATTTCTTTTTCATCTGATATTGGTTTTAGATATCTCAGGCTTTACCCTTCGACATGAAATTATAGTGTCATCGGAGAATAATATTTGAAAGTTATACAGTGCTTTATTTATTTATTTTTTTTTTTGAAATTTTGAAATTATTTGTGAAAAGCTAGGAAATCTGCACTTATTGGCAAGTTTGTTAGTCTTTTAAATAAATTGTATCCAGGACTACCGCCGTTTGGTATTTTTTGCGCAACTCGAGTTATAGTTTATGATTTTTTATAATTAATTAGGTCCTGTCGTGTGTTTGTAAATTATAAAGCTAGTTTTAGGCTTTTAAGGTACTGGTAAGAATTTAAGAGAAGTGTGGCTGTGCTTTTTAACTCACCTTGCTGTTGTCCGCTTGTTCAACTTTTCTGTTCTGTTTAATTACCGTTCAAGAAGCACTCGCTTTCTTGGACTATCATACTGTAATATTTGGTAATTGCTGTCTTCAGAACTTGTTGTGAATGCTGCTGTGCAAAACTTCTGGAAGGTTTTTCTTCTGGAAAGATATCTCAGACTTCTGAAAAAAAAA